CTGTGTGGACGATTAGCATTGCAGGCTGTTTATTTAGATCAACTAAGAAGTAGTATGGGTTGCCCTGGATAAAAGTAACTAAGGTCTCCGTGACATAGGGAAAACACACCAACACACACACACACACACACACACACATCCACACACACATATACACATGCAGACACACACACAAACACACACATATATACACACACACATGCACACACACATATACACATGCACACACACACACATCCACACACACATATACACATGCACACACACACAAACACACACAGTGAATAGCATCTGTCTTTTGTGTGTATTTCAGATACTGGGTATTGAACTCAGAGCCTCACATACTGGCCAAGTACTCTACCCCTGAGCTGCAGTGCCAGACCCCCCCCCCCCCAGGTACTTGGGGAGTACAATCAAGAAACAGAGTAACTTTTTAGATAGCTGGTGCCTCTCTAGAATGTTGAGATGAATGCCTCAGTATCTCTTGTCAGTCTTTAGAGATTCTGGCCAAACTGAAGTCTCCATTTTCTGGCATTTTCCCACTTGGTGTATAGGAGCTCCATCTCATCCTCATGGATTAGACCCCACAGAGAGTGTGGTGGCTCAGGTGTGGATGGCTTGAATTTGGGAGCCATATAAAGTTGAGATGGGAGAAGATTGAAATTTAGAAATGGACCCCAAGAGGGTACCATGCTGGATAATCAGTCTTGAGTGTCTTTCCATTTTGTTTTTGAAGAGTATTTATGCTATGTGTCTTTGGGTGAGTACAGTATAAAAAGTTAATACCCTTGACTCTGGCCTTTAATCCCAGCACTTGGGAGGCAGGGACAGGATGATTTCTGTGAGTGTGAGGTCAGCCTGTTCTACATAGTATGTTCAGGCCAGCCAGCTAACCAGCGGTGCATGGTGAGACCTAAAAACATTAATACCGTCACAATGTGTCCTTTATGAAGAGAACAATGAAATGCTATTTAGTGATCATACCAGGAAGATGAGCTAATTTGCTGTCTCCAAGGTTAGATTGTCTTTTTCTCTTGTTCTTTAGTTTTTTGATCCTCTCCTTCCTTCCCTGCCTTCCTCTCTTCCACCTTTCCTTCTACCCTTGCTTTCTTTCTCTTTTTTTTTTCTCTTGAGATGGCTTGGTCCAGGCCATGGAAAACCTTAACTTGGTGATCCTCCTGCTTCTGCCTCTCCAGTGCTAGATTTATAAGCATTTATAAGCATGCGCTCTCAGGCCTAGACTCCCTGGAGTCTACTTCATTTGCATCTGTCTGTCTGTCTGTCTGTCTGTCTATCTATCTATCGTCTATTTATCATCTATCTGTCTATTTATCATCGATCTATCTATCTATCATCTATTATCTACTTAGCTATCTTTTATCTATCATCTATGTATCTATCTATGTATCTATCTATCTATCTATCTATCTATCTATCTATCTATCTATTTATCTAAACACCAAAAGATATGAGAATCTCCCTATGTATGCAGTCCAAGTTGGCCTTGAGTATACTGCCCTCCCAGCTGTGCCTTGGCCTTCTGAATGCTGGGATTGGAACTCTGGCACGTGCCACCATGCCCAGCTGCATTTATTTTCAAAGAGCTGCGTTGAAGGACTTTGGGCCCTCTCAGCAAAGAGCATCTCAGAAGTATAAAGCCTGGGATGCTATTCAAATCATCCTAATTGGATTTCTCAAGCCCTGATCTAATCAGCAAGCTGGTTTTGCTTAGCTTCTTGGTCAAGTTCATTCATTAATTCAGAAAGCATTTATTGAATATTTGCAGACTCTACCCCTGGGCTAGATGTAACAGGATTAGTGGATGAATGGAGTCCTGTCCTTTAGGAGTTTATAGTCTTCCCGAATGAAGGAAAGAGTATTTCTATTATTATAGAAAGCTGTTTAAGATGTAAGATGGCTTTTGTACTTGAAATGTGTTAGCAGTCTTTCATGTCAGGTAATTGACATTAACTGTGACTTTATGCTCTGGAAACCACATTATGAAGTATTTTCTTTTCATATTTATTTCACAGTTAATATCACAGTTCTTTTCAGACATGCTCTTGTGAGAATACTCACTCCCCACAAAGTGACGCTGTGAACTTAATAGAATTGTTGGCATTTCACACTTCACAGTCTGTGCATTTGGGAAGATTCTGAGCAGGAAGAAAGACGAAAAGTTGAACCCCCATTTATTATTTTATTGGAGCGAATTGTCACATAAAACTATGGCCATCACCCCTTCCATCAAGTACCACCAAGTTTTGCTAGAATTTCCTGTCATCTTCCGCCACCATGATGGATGTAAATAGAAAACTAACACTGGTTTTAGTTGAGGTCTTAGATATAATGAGATTCTTCTACTCTTTAAAGGTAAATGTTCATTCACGCATGAACTGTTAAAAAAATGATTTTATGCTATTTAGAAGAGTGGAGAGCTGAAATCAGAAGTGCCTTTCCGTGCTCCAATATTTTCTAATTATGATTTTTCTGTGTTTCTTATATTTACTTTTCTAAGATGCACTTTTGGTCACAGACTGGAGCTACCCTCAATGCCTCTTACTCATTTTCCCCTCTGATTAATGTTTGTAACGTGCAACACACACACACACACACACACACACACACACACACACACACGCTACTTTCTTTTGTTAATGTTATAAATTCAACCTCCATGATAAATGAGAAGTAATCAAAAGACATAGTTGCTTCTGTGCACAGGCTGGAAAAGGGTCTGCTTCAACTAGAGTCCCAGAGAAGTACCATGCTGAGCTCTCAAGGCGCAGTGATGTTCTGTATTGTGTGGCTGCCTTGCCTCCCGAGTCAGTGGTTTGGGTAGTTTGCTGCTGGGTCAGGAGTGGTTCCTAGTTATGAAGGGTGATGATAGTTTGGCTGTCACAGTCTACAGTTGCCTGGAAGCTGAGGTCATTTACTCTTTATTTCTCTCTTCCTCCTCTTCTTCCTCCTCCTTCCACCTCTTATCCTCTCTCTCTTCTTTTTTCTAATCACAGCTCTCTGAAATGTGAAACTCTGGAAGACTTGCTTTTTTCTCATTTATCTAAAATGTAAGAGTTCTTCTGCTGTCAGCAAGGACTTTGTGCTTGGGTATTAGTGGTGTGTGTGTGTGTGTGTGTGTGTGTGTGTGTGTGTGTGTATCAAGCCTAAACCCAAGGTTGATTTTCATTTCCTCCCTCATTTCTTTCCTCCCTCCCTCCTTCCCTCTATCTCTTCCTTCCTCCCTTCCTTCTCTCCCTCCTTCATTTTGCCCCCAAGTCCCAAATAATATTTCAACCAGGCATTTTCACACATACTTTCACTTTCATTTAAGTCTTGCTAAGTTGCCCAGGCTATCCTCAAACTTGCTATGTAGCCCAAATTTTAAAATTATAATCCTTTAAAATTATAATCCTCCTGCCTCAACCTCTTACTGTTATATTTTTTTAAACACTTAGATTTAGACCCAAAGGTGGAAACTGTAGTTCCTGAATTCACAAAAATATGCTTTTGTTAATGGTGAAAACTGGTTTAGCATTGATGGTGGTGGTGGGGCTTCGAATCTAGAGAAAAAACCCTAAGAGACATGCCATAGAAAGTCATTCAACGTGGGAGCAAAGGATTGCTCTAGAAGATTCTCAGTCTTCTCTCTTCACCTCTTTGTTTCTTACATCATGTTAGACTATCTCAGCACCTTCAAATGTCTACTTCCCTTTTATATTCCAAGTCAGAGTCTTGCTGTGCATCCCAGAATAGCCTTGAACTTTCTGTCTTCAGATCCTCCTGCACCGTGTCCTTAGCTTTGCTGGATTCCAGGCCCATGTCACCACACCTAGCCACTGTTCCTTTTCTAAGAATATGACTGGAGGCTGTGGCATCTACTTTGATGCGAGAAAGCAAAACTGGTGTTGTTAATTACCTATCTTCCTTCAAGGCTTCTACCCTTGTGATGAGTTTGGGGAATATATAGGTCAAATGTGTTCCATGCATCCTGCTGGAGCATTGGAAAAAATTGCCAGCAATCTTGTAATAATTTCCAACTGCTGAAGACCCGTTTCTGGAACTTCCTGGTGAGGACTCCAAGAGACCCTAAAAGAAAAAAGAGCCAGACAGACACCTGTTGCGTTCTGACATACACAGAGGCCAGTGTTGGCATATGTCCACCCTTGGGTGTGGAGAACTCCTGGTCTTGCGTACTCTCACCAGTTCCATTCCTGGATGGAGTCTGTCAGGTCAGTGAACATGCAGAGAGGCCAGCTGCCCTTTAGGGTATAGCACACTTTGCCCCGTCTGCTCCTAGCCCTGCATCTTTCCAGTGTAAGCGCCTTTCTCCTTGGAAGTACTGCATGGGGGGAGGGGGCGTTCACAGTAGCTGTTCTCTTGTGGCTTCCTTCTGCTTCTCTTGCTGTGGGTCTTCTTGCCTGTGTTGAGGGGTCCTGAAGAAACATGGGCTCTTCCTTGTCAGATGCAAATAGGTCTTTTCACACACCGAGAGCTTTCACATGGGCAGTGGTTCTCTGCGTGGAGAAGGAGGATGCTCTCAGGGAAAGGGAGGAAGAACAAGCTCCCATTGGTAACCAGCCTGAACAGCGCTGTTCTGGGCAGAGGGATTACCGAGAGAACTTTGTTTATATTTCCTCTCTGGCAACTTTAGTTTCTTTCCAAGTACTACACGTATCCACCCCACATCCATTTCTGTAAGTGGAGAGGCTCCCCTCTCGCCCTACACCCTGAAAAGAAGCTGGGCTTTTAGCGTCTGGCCCCATAGCCTATACAAAGCAGCTGCCTCGAATGTCCTGATCTTGGGAGAGTTGCCCCTCTCTAATCCCAGCAGAGGTGTGTCTCCGCACAGCCGTACAGAATATCAGACATTAGAGAATCGCTCGGATCACTCGGGTACAGTTCCTGCCCCACAAGGAGCTATGAGCTCTGCACAACATTCTCATGTTTGTGTGTCCTTATATATGTATGCATTTACTTATGAATTTATTTTCTTGCTACAGGAAAGCCATCTCCCGGACGGGCCTCCAGCATCTGGCGCCTGCACATCCTCTCGGCCTTCCTGTGGCGAACGGTCCAGCAAAGGAGCCTAGGGCCACTCTGGACTGGAGCGTAGGTGTCTACTGTTTTTTTGTTTGGTTTTTCCCCTCAAGCTAATTTTTACTTGTATGCTGTGTCTTTCTCACCTCGCCCTCAGGATTCCGTAAGTCAGAACATACCTACTGAGAGTCTTCAGTGGTCAAGTTAATGAGATCATTAACGGTGGGCTGAAAGCCGTTGTCCCCACCTGAAGCCCTGTGCAGGGCTGCTCTTCGGTTCTGCAACAATGATCAGGCTCATCCCTGTCTTTTCCAGCTTAGGGGAGGGAGCCATGGGAGAAAGGAGGGGAGTATTTATTTCTTTTAGCCAACTAAAACATAAAAATCATGTGTATTTGTGGTGTGCCATGTGGTATTTCAACACATGGGCACCATGTGCAATGTTTCAATCGGGGCAAAGTAGATCTACCTAGACATTTCTCATCAGTTAGTTATGTTGCAAATATTCTAACTCCTTTTTGCTAGCCTTCTGCAAAAGAAGTACACGAAACTGTCATTGTTTGTGGCTACCCTGCTATGAAATTGTATCTACCTATGATTTAATATCCATGGAAGAATCTTTCCTTCGATTATCTAACCACTGTCTCTCCCAGCCTCTGGTAACAACCATCTTGCTCTCAGTAATATTTCATATGTAAGTGAGATTGCATGACGCTCCACTTCCTGTACCTCACCTATTTGGCTAAACACAAAAGCCTCTAATTCCATCTATGCTGCAAATGAAAGGTTTTCCTTTTTCTGTGTGGATAAATAATATTCCTGTCTATATATGCACCACATTTTTGACAGATAATATGATATTTTATTGAATTTAAAAATAACACCCTTAGCAAAGGTCACGGGCTATAAAAAGTAAGCTCCGATTTTCACGTTACCCTAAATGGGTTTTTAATTTCGACTAAGATTTAAAGGCATGTCTGTTTTCGTGCCTGTGTATAGATGGGAAAATCTTCTTTCCACATTCTTTCAACTTGGCAGAATTGAATCCTGTAGAGGGACTTATTGTCGGGGGATAAGGTAGATGCTTCTGCCATAAGCCAATAACACAGTCTCACAAACAGAAAGAGCATTGCCCAGCGGCAAGTGTGACTTGGCCTCAGCTTCCTGAGGGGGAAAATGGGAAATGTTCATTTCCTTCTTGCTGCTGTTAGAGCTAAAATTATTAGAACAATAGCTAAATATTATTGGTGCAAACATAATGTTAGAATTCTTTCTCCTGCTGCTAAGTCGTCTAAGTGTTTGCTAGACCCAGGAAAAAGGCCATTGCAAACACTTCCTGCCTTAGTTCCTGCTTCTAAATAACATTGTAACATATACAGTCGCCCAAGACTTTTAATCATATGAAATGAAAAGGGGTTGACAGACTCTTCTTTATAGTACTGGGTATTGAACCCAGGGCCTCAGAGAAGCTAGGCGAGCACTCTGCCATTGAACACTATCCCAAACCCTTATTTTTACTCATTTTTAGAGAAAGGTGTCTCTCCCAGTAGCCCAGGCTAGCTCAGAACACACTCTGTAACCCAAGCCGACCTTGAACTCCTGAGCCTTTTAATCTAACCTCCCAAAGAGCTGGATTCTAGACAAGTGCCACTCGGCCCAGCTCCCCGACTCTTTATATTAGCCTTTCCAGCAATGTAACAAACCTTAGCGAAGTCACAGTCTAGGTTTTACTTCTGGTGTAAATTTCTTTTGCCTTTAAGTTTTTCAATCTCTTACATGAAAAGAACATTCACACCCTCCACTGACCTTCATATGTTCTCAGTGAGCTTGTTCAGCATTTTCTTTGCATCCAGTACCTCTTTCCACCTGTCACCAGTAAAGACAAGCACATGTACATGTCCCGTGTCCCATCCTTTTGTGGGAGGAGGGGTGGGTGTGCACATGGATGTGAAGGCTAGAGGTCTATCTCGGGTGTCATAGTGCCCTAGAGAGAGTCCTCAAGCACTACCTTCTTCTTCTTCTTCTTCTTCTTCTTCTTCTTCTTCTTCTTCTTCTTCTTCTTTTTTTGAAACTAGGGTTCTCATTGGCTTGAAATTTGATGAATAGGCTAGGCTTGTTGGCTGGTTTGGGAGACCCGGTAGTCTGCCTGTCTCTTCCTCCCAAGTTCTGGGCTCTTTTGTTGATGGACACTCACGGTTGCTTCCGTTTCCTGACTACTGTGAAGAGTGTTGCGTGAACAAGGCAGATGTGTCTCCTACTTATGCAAATCGAAGGATTTTCATTTCCTTCGGATACAGACCTGGGAGTGAGATGGCTACGTCAGACTGTGGTTTCATTTTTGACGCTTTTCCAGAGCATCCATTGTGTTCTTGTGGCTGTGTCTGCTACTGTTCCCCCCACCAACATGTTGGGTTCCCTTTCTCAACATCCTCTACAGGACATGTTAGCTTCTGTCCAATGGGAGCCATTCTTAGCAAAGGTAGGGTGGTTCCATTGTAGTTTTGATTTGTATTTCCACTATTATTAGTGATGTTTACTGTTTAAAAATCTCTCCGCTGGTAGCTTGCATGTCTTCTTTTCAGGCATGTTGGTTTAGACCTACCACCCAGGCCTTAACTCTGTTACCTGCTATCTTTGCTGTGTAGAAGTGTTTGAGTTTTATATGACCCTGCTTGTTTGTTTTTCCTTTGTTTCTTGTATTTTTGGGGCCTCTTTAGAAAGTCCATCCCGTCAAAGTATCCTGAATCCTGTCTCCTGCATTTTCACGCAGTGTCAAGTGTCCTGTATTTTCTTCTTAATAGCGTCAGCTCTTATATTTAAGTATTCAGTCTGTTTAAGTCGGCGAAAGATAGCTGTCTATCATAATTCTTGGCTTGTGGGCATCCATCTTTATCTAACATCATTCTCCGCTTGTAAAAAGAATCATTGTGTCATTATGAAAAGTATCATATTTGAAAGGCTATCTATCATTTCTCCAGCACATGTCCTCATCCCCTTGTTTAAGCCCAACTGCCTATGGATGTACGTTTAAAGTGTATCTGCCACAGTGGAATATCCTATGCACTCGGACATTGTTTTCTGGCCCAGCCAATGCTACCATCCTTATTTTGCATTCTGGGCAGGTTCCTTGGGATCAAGAGGGTAATGAAGATGTGGTTTAAATGGAGCTAAAAATCCATGGATAGAAAGTAATAAACAGTGAGAACCCAACACAGCAATGCCTGGGCCGGGAGAGTTCACAGTGGAAGCGGGGAGAGCCACTGGGATAGGAGAAAGGACCCTTTCTAGTCCTGGCTGATGTTGAAAACAGTTATCAACAAACGCTTTTACTATGTGTCCTGCCTAAGCCAGCGTTAGACTAGCAGGCAGTATTTTCTGATTCCCATGGAAAGGTGTACACTGTAGCATTCATTCAAGCCGTATTTTTGGCTGGTGGTGGGAGGCTCTGGATACACAATAGGGGCCGAGCAAATAGGAGCTCAGGCTGGGTGTGTTGTGGTCTTTTGTTCTTCTTCTTTCCTCCCTGATGATTCTGGGCACCCTGTAACGGTGTTCTGCTAAAAGTCCAGTAGGAAAGCAAAGAGAAGGACACACCCTTCTGGGAGACTCAGATGTGGCTCTGGAACAGATGCGTCCCTTGGCATTGTTATCAGTGGCAGCAGACAGAAGTCAGCGGTGGCCAGTACCCAATTGCACAGAATGTTCAGGAAGGAGGAGAGGGTTAGGTGTATTTCAGTATCCTCCGGCTTTTTCTGTAAGAGTTTAAATGACTCAGACTGGTTTTTAAAATGCTGGCCTTTGTCTGCCAGGTACACTGTGTATTAACTGACCCTTCTGTTTAAGAGTCCAAATGAGGAATTGGGGAATTTTCTTGTTTTGCATAAAGCACAGGAAGGGTTTTCGGGCTTGAGCATCCATCTGCAACAACCCTGTCTTTTGGTTCTCTCCCTCCCTTCCTCTTTTCTTCCCTTTCTACTTCTTCCCTCCCTAGGCCCTGATATCTCTTATTTAGGCCATTTCACACATCCCAATTACTGTGTACATTCCTTTGTTCAGAGTGAGTCATCTTGCAAACAGAACCAACGTAGAGCTTTTTGTTTGGCTTATCTGAGGTCTTGTTAGATCTCTAGTTTCCCGAAGAGCTAGGCAGTGTGTTTGTTTTCTCTTCAAAGTGGAGAGTACAGGACAGCCTAAGGGCTGCCTGGTTACTGATTCTGGGACATGACTTTATTGTAACTCCTCTGCTGGGTCAATAAGAAGTGAACTTACTCTTGGAAACTGATGGGCACTCAGATAATCTCTAGTTCCTGAAAGGCTTGCTAAACACGACTCCAAAGCCAACTGGTAAAAGAAATCAATAAGACCTGTTTTAATGCCAAGTGACCCCCCCTTTTCAGGTTCTTCTTACTGTGTAGCACAGGGAGGTAGATTATCACGCACACAGAAAGGCCTGGTCTTCCCCTCCTACTAGTGGCCTCTCTTCACCCTGCCAGAAACAACCAGGAGAGGCTGTTCCCTTGGATACCATTAAGACACATGTCAGCCAAGCCAGTTTGGGAGGAAATAAGCTAAATTACTAGAATGGGGAGGAAGTGATGTTCAAAATAGAAACCAAAAATATTCGTCTCCTGGGCTGGAGTCCAAGCTCTCCATTTGGAGTGAGTTAGCCCATTTAGAAGTGTGTCGGTGCCACAGATAATATGTGTCTTCTTAAATGCCGCATGCCTCCTCTGCAAAGGTGACTCAATTTACAATTAGAGCTCGCCTCTGTTTTTAAGATTGTAGCCAGTAATACTGGAGGGAGGTCTCGCCTCTGTCCCCACTGTTTTATAATTTTGCTTTGCCCATTAAGCCGCCTGGAGCAAGCCACAGGCCAGTGTGGGGGGTGGGCAACAGAGCTCATGTCAATCATAAGTCCACCATCATCCGCTCTGAGTCTCTTTCATTTCTTCACCGGACCACATCCTGCCACCCAGCGTTCCTTAGAAAACAGAACTTCAACTAGAACAAAACCAGCTCAACTCCCCCCCACCCCCATCCACACCAGCATTCCTTTCCTCTAGCTGATGACAT